AGGAATTTATAATTTTGACGATTGAAAAGATAATCGCGTCAATTAGCCATTAGTTAATACTTGCCATTAAATCCTTCCACATACAATTGCAAAATTAACACTTTTCATTTAAGCTTAATCAAAAAGAAAATCATTCTTCGAAAACAAAGCGATATTCACCCACAAAATAGAGAAAGCTTTATGTATTTTATAAACAACCACAACCAAATTTTTTTTTAGTAAACTCCGAATTTAAACTCTGAACGAATTTGTAAAAAATGTGTAAACAAAACACTGGATAATGGGTATAAACACACAAACAAAACAATGAAATATATTTAAGTCTGTTCCCAGATTCCCAGACAGTTCCAACTTAAACCCGTCTCTAAAACTAAAACCTCAACTCCAAAGAGTTCCTACCGGAAATAAAAAAAAAGAAAAATGACTGAATAGTAAATAAGTCTGTCAGAATAACAAATGTCTGACCAAGTAAACAGATCAAATAGTGGCGACCCGGGAAAGTGGTGACAGTCCCAGCTGACTTCTTGTACGTCCGCAAACAATTTTTTATTATTCTGGTGCAACCGATATTCACCGGGTCACTGACATTGAGGTCAAGTAAACAGGAAAAATCTGGCGTTGTCTGAAAAAATATTTTGAGGTAATGCTAAAGAAAAGTGATAAAGCGTTTTGTTCAAATTCTTGGTACGATATTTAAAAGGATATTTTGAGGTCGGCTAAAACAATTTATAGAATTATGTAACATGAGATCGTGTATGCAATTGAGGTCGGTCTGGGTAATTAGCTAATTAAGTCCAGCAATTGGGTTAGGGTTAAAGACTAGTTAGAGCAATACCCCACATAAGCTTGAACCATGAGGACAAGATCAACAATTTGGTTATTGTGAAATCGATGGAGCTGTAAAAATGTTTCCTTAAAAAACGTTTTGCTAACAAGCTTTTATGTAATAATGCACTAAAAAGTAGAAACTAAATTATACACTACTATTTAAATTACTATAAAGAAAAGCGTGGGCCACTGTAGTATCTATTGGATACCTTTACTAATATTTTGGAAGAGACCCACGCTTTTCTTTATAGTAATTTAAATAGTTGTGTATAATTTATACTTTTTATTGCATTATTACATAAAAGCTTATTAATAAAACGTTTTTACGAAAAATAAATTTAGTACTTTACATGCTTTTATTTACAATAGAATTACATGACTAATAAAAGCTTGGTATTAAAACGTTTTTATGAAATTCTTGTAGTACTTTACATGTTTTTATTTACAAGAGTTACATGACTAAAAACCATTGCGCAGCTACTGAACGTGATGACGCGCTTTGCCGTGATGACGCGCGTGGATAGAACTGCCTATGGTCAAAATTTTTATTAATTCATAAAAAACTAATCAGGCGACCAATTAAGTCAAATTTAATGTCACGATGCATTGGCTTTATGTCTTGACCCACGTACCAATTACGAACAGTATCTGTCGGTTAGAAGTGTTCTAAATTTCACTCGGCCGTTTTGATCTAGACAGACAAACTGACTACAGAGGAAGCGAGTTAAATAAAAGCTTGTAAAAAGATAGTTTGTTGAGGGTGTTGTTAATTGTGGGAGATATCATGGCGGTGCGTGGTGGTGGCGTCTAGTGTAGCGTGTTCAACAAGGGCGTTGATCAATGGAGTTTGAATGTTGTATGATGGCTCTCCCACCCCTCCTACAACCAACTATTACACATGAATACTGATATACAAACGTAAATACATACACAAATATATACATACATGCACAGACAAAGATTTACATATATGAACTGACACATGCTCACACATACACATACGAATACACACACACACATACACACACAGGCAGACTGACGCACACCTATAAACATACATACACTGACATACTCACTCATACACACGTATCGAAGTACGCACGAGCCCAAGACCATTCTCTCTTTTCTATATTATCTCGGGCTCTCATTGGACCCTCCCACTCCCCCCCCCCCCCCCCTCTCTCTCTCTCTCTTGAATACAACCATTTGAATTCCCTTATAAAATACCTATTAGACATCACTAGTTCAATACGCGACGAGGCTAATTATTAAAACTAATTAGCCTTACCCATCAAGTTGAAAAAGGAAATCCTATCCATGTTTTTGATTTAAGCTAAATAATTCCAAATCAATATTTTACATTCATTGAATTTCCATCCTTTATGTTTCCTGACCACGGCTTAATATTTACCAGACGATAATAGCGGGGAGATCATCCGTCTATTTGAGTAGAGCAGGTCACGTTGTCTTAGTCACGTGACTTGCCCCCGCGTGTAACCAATGGGAGTCGTTGTTTTGGTCGTCTGCATCATTGTCCGTTTCTAAATCTGTTTCTTTTGTTAGGTCAGTGATCTTTTGTCTTGTATTCCTGGATTTTAAAAAAAAAAAGCGGACCACATTTTGCTAGAAAAAAAATTAAATAAAAACATTTTGTAGCTTTATTTTAAAGTAAATAAAAATGGTGCGAGAAGGGAAGTAATTTTATATCCACCGGTAAAGGAATCGTGCTAAATTTAAATGAATGAGAAGGTTGATTGGAAGTTGGCATGAAATGGGGTTAAGAACGTTTTTTTTTTCTGAGATGCATGCCTTTTCTTTTGTTTTTGGTGTTTCGTTTAAAGTTTAATGGAATACTGTCTTAGTATGTTGCTGGTAGGATTGATGTTGATGTTGGTGTTGTTTGTTAGGGTTAGAGTGGGATTAGAGTTAGGGTTAAGATTGATGTTGGGTTAGTGTTTGGGTTAGGGTTCGTGTTAGGATTAAGTGATGAGTAGGATTAAGGTTCGTGTTAGTGTTTGTCAGGGTTGGGGATTGGGTTTGGGTTCAGATTACGTTATTAAGCTAGGATTAAGATTAGGGTTAGTGTTAGTATTTAGTGTTGAGGTAAGGGTTATCTTAGGTTAAGATCCAATAATAAATTGTGATTACCAAAGTAGTTACTTTACCACAAAGAATTATTACTTTATCTGAGAAAACGTTACCAATGTTTTCAATTTCCACTTCGTGCCACCCCACCCCCCCCCCCCCTTCTGCCCCTCCCCCGAAATAGCGTCACCAACCAGGGATGGCAACTCCTCCCCCCCCCCCCCCCCCCCCCTAGTGCATGCCACTGCTGGACTAAAGAAAAATAAATGCATGTTCGGTCACTCACACCTAATATTTTCTCGGAACAAAAAAAAAAAACCTCGCCCGCCATGAGATAATTACATAGCTAAGTAATTGAAGGCTTTCCTCCATCACGAACTATTGTATTCACACGCATTGTGTTTCCTATTTCCAGTGAGCGATGCTGAGGACAGAGACACTGAGATCACGACAGTAGGTCGGTAGGTCGCAGCTAGCCGGCACCACGTTCGTCAAGAGTTCCTTCCCGTGTGTCCACACCAACAAGACTAGTGAGATCACGACAGTAGGTCGGTAGGTCGCAGCTAGCCGGCACCACGTTCGTCAAGAGTTCCTTCCCGTGTGTCCACACCAACAAGCCTGTCATGGACACCACAAACTACGACAGCACCATCGATGTCGCCATTGAAGGCGTGTTTGATCGCCTGGTGGCCGATAAGGTAGGAACTCCAGGGAGAATGTCAGGCGACCAGTGGTTCAAACATTTTTCCCGTATGTGGTTGGGGGGGGGGGGGTTCACTTGAAAACTTTGAGAGAGCGTGTTTGGTCGCCCGGTGGCCGATAAGGTAGGGACTCGACCGGGAACTTCATGCGACCAGTAGTTCAAACCTTTTTTCCCGTGTGTGGTTGGGGGGGGGGGGGGTTCACTTGAAAACTTTGAGAGAGCGTGTTTGGTCGCCTGGTGGCCGATAAGGTAGGAACTCCAGGGAGAACTTCATGCGACCAGTAGTTCAAACCTTTTTTCCCGTATGGGGTTGGGGGGGTTCACTTGAAAACTGTGAGAGAGCGTGTTTGGTCGCCTGGTGGCCGATAAGGTAGGGACTCGACCGGGAACTTCATGCGACCAGTAGTTCAAACCTTTTTTCCCGTGTGTGGTTTGGGTGGGGGGGGGGGGGGAGTCACTTGAAAACTTTGAGAGAGCGTGTTTGGTCGCCTGGTGGCCGATAAGGTAGGAACTCCAGGGAGAATAGGGACTCAACCGGGAACTTCATGCGAACAGTAGTTCAAACCTTTTTTCCCGTGTGTGGTTGGGGGGGGGGGGGGGTTCACTTGAAAACTTTGAGAGAGCGTGTTTGGTCGCCTGGTGGCCGATAAGGTAGGAACTCGACCGGGAACTTCATGCGACCATAGGTTCAAACATTTTTCCTGTATGGGGTGGGGTTCACTTGAAACTTTTAGGGGAGCGGACTTAAATTTCTCAGGGAAAGGGAAAGGGGGAAGAAGACTGAACTATATATGTTGCATATAAATTATATTCCTTTCAAGGGTGGTGTAGAGGAGGGGAGGCGAGCTTCGGGGTGGGGTGTAAACGAGTTTCGATTAGGGGAGGGGGGGGGGCAGTAAGACGCATACAAAATTGAGTTATCTATTAATTTATGACATATTATAGTAAATTTTGTATGTATAGAAAGTAAACATTCACTTTCAAACCTGACAGTCTATGGGTCAAGGGAAGTAGAGTTCACCTGTTTCTGTGACCTCGGCATATGAAGAGATAGTGTGGTCAGCGCTATGCCCAGCCGCCTTTACGTAAGTTGGGTGGACTAGGGACGGTCTACTGACTTGAACCCGGATTCGAACTCGAGACTTACGGATTAGCAGTCCAGCTCTCTACCGCTAGACCACTCCGTCCCCTGTGTATGTACACATATCAAAATTTGATTTTGTAAATCTGTTTATCTTTCCAGCAGACGACATCCATCCCAAACATGTCGTGCTCGTCCGCCAACTTCATGAACATCCTCGTCTCGGAGCTGCTCAGGAACTCCACCAACTGCAGCTCCGAGCAGCAGGAGGAGGTGGGAGCCGTAAAACACATCACGACGTGGCTGGTGGGCAGCATGTTCTACGCCTACTTCACGCCCATGGTGTTCGTGGTGGGTATGGTCGGGAATTCCCTGTCGCTGTGTGTCTTCCTCTCCAAGAACATGAGACACCTCTCCGCCAGTACCTACCTCGCCGCACTCTCCTTTTCCGATATCATCAACCTTATCTTCTACGTTCTCTACGAGTGGTTGACGCGAGGACTCCGCGTCATTACTTCCGGGTCACATGTTTCTTTCTTACATATCGACGGAGCTTGTCACGTGATTATGTATTTACATTACGTTTCAAGATTTTTATCTGCTTGGTTGGTGGTCGCTTTCACGATTGAAAGATACATTGGCGTGTGCCACCCTTTGCGGCGTAAGCACATCTGCACGCTGTCCAGCACTAAAAGGATTGTCGCAGGATTGCTGGTGCTTGCTTTGTTAGTCAACATCTTCAAACCTTTACTGACCGTGTCCCATCATGTTGATATGTGGGGTCAAGCCTGCACAACCAACCCCAAATACAAACAGCTGTCGTTTATCCTCGACTCCATCTACGCCGTCAGCATTACATTCGTCCCCTTCGTCATCATATCCGTCTTGAACATCAGCATCATCCGAACGCTCTTCCTCCACAACAGACAACAGAGGCTGATCCGGACTCTAATGGAGAAGAGCGCTATCAAGCTCGAGTTCACCATCATCCTCCTCATCGTCTCCTTCTGTTTTGTGGCCTTGAACTTGCCCTACTTCGCCACGTGGTGTAAAGTCTTCCTGTCCTCGAATTTCGTCAAGCTCGTGTCCTTGCAGGACCTCGACGAGATCATCTACTTCCGGGGCGTGACCTTCATCGCACGCGCCATCTTCTACATCAACTACTGCATCAACTTCTTCCTCTACTCCATCACCGGCGCGTACTTCCGGCGTGAGCTCAAACGCCTGTTCGTCCCCCACGCGCATGACTACCACACGTGCGAGAGCCCCCAGGACAAGAAACGGTTCTCCACAAACTCCCACAACTTCCGGCTCCTCCCCTCAAAAACTTCCGACATTGGGGACAGTCTTAAAAAGATTAGTCCCCCCTCCACTCATGACACGTGGGTGTAGCAACGAATGTCATTTGAGCGTATGACATCAAAGCAGATGACATCTGTGGTGAAAACAATAAACCCAAATAATATTTTATCACAAATTCACTTTTTTTCAATATTAAGACCGCATATTATATGTAAAAGTAAAAGTTCCTTTTTGATTATGGGAAAGGTGAAGTAGAGTTAGTTCACTTGTTTCTGTGACCTCGGCATATAAATGGATAGTGTGGTCAGCACTATGCTCAGCCGTCTTTATTCTCCCTAACTCGAGTCAGGTACCCATCAAAGCTGAGTGGACTCTCAGACGTTCTACGGATTTAAACCCGGAATCGAACTTGTAACAAAATCTGATTAATAAGAAACAGTCACGTGACCGAATGTTCTTGTATGTTTACCTGACTAGCCAAAAATATGTGAAAACATAAAAACAAGCCAAGGAAATTGCACTCCAAAAGGGATGTAAACAGGTAACCGTCCCGAATCAAAGTTTACCTGAGTAAATCAATGGGAACCAGATACATTTTCCCCAGACAAAACAACCTCATTTTCTTATACAAAGACGTTGATTTATGAATGAAGTTAATCTCGCCAGAGGACTTATCGTATCGCGTGTTGCCATGACAACGTGTGTGAAATCAGGAGTTACGTACCGTGTTTTGTCACGCGAACTAAAATCAATGAAGCATTCTGGGAAGAAATGTTTAACTTTAATTTGTGCTGAGTCGGACTTGTTTTTAAATTTTTTATACTCTTTGACATTTCGGTATGTTGGCATCGTGGAATTTTGACATTTTGTGACATCATGTTCGGTAGTCATTGTGACATTTGCGACCATATCCGTGGTGTCATCTCGTCCCACGTGATGCTATACTCTAATTTGGACACAACACAAGGTCAAATCAAACCCCAACAGCCATCATACATAAAATGACCATTTATCTCAATAATATATTTTCATGTGCCGCACAAGGAATATCCAGCTTGAACTAAATATTATCAGAAAAACATTAAATCAGATCTTATAAGCAATGATATAATAATGATCTATCTTCCACTCACTCCAGCATATCATTAGCTCGGTTGAACAGGTTGTTCAAAAGATCAGCTTTACGTAGTAGAGGCTGCTCCAATGATCAGACTGTCTGTTCTATTGTTTCGTCATAATATCAATTTATCTCTTGATATACTTATTGTAAAATAAAATAATTGTAAAAATAAGAGCTCAGTTTGTTTAAGTATTGTGTCAAAATATATGTTATTTCAATGTAGTAATCGTATATTCGTGTGACAGTTTTAAATACATAGCAAGCTTTTTGATCTGTCGATCAATAAACTACAAATAATTTCAGGGTTTAAATACATATATATATATATATATATATATATATATATATATATATATATATATATATATATATATATATATATATATATTAATATTTATATGAAGTAATCCAATTGCTGAACTTATAAAGATCAGAACATCAGCAACGTACTGCATTTTCCTAACACGTTCAAACTAGGTATTTTTTTAAAATTAAAATAAGTAAATGCAGATATCAGCTTTTTACTTTAACGTATAGGCTACATGGTATAGAGGAAATATTGTAATCGTGCACAAAAATCACATGAAGTTTTGAAAGTTTTCACCGTTTTACACCTCAGCACTTCATCATATACGGAGTATAGGGGACTTATTTTAATCGTGCAAACATTATAAATGCAGAATTATCAAAATGTCGGTGTTCTATGTTTAATCGAGTCGAAAAACTGGGCTTTGCAATTCTGCCCATATGTCTGCGTGTGTGTGTGTATGTGTGTATGTTTGTAAACACGATAACTTAAGTACCTTTACAGCTAGGTTGATTAAATTCCACATACAAGTATTTTACCAAATTTGAAGTTCTGTATCAAATTTTCAGCGATTTCCGGTAAACGGAAGTGGAACCTATACGATTTTTGGTTTTTCAAAAGCATATAACTTGATTACTGTTTTGGATAAATAAACGAGATTTCACATGTAAGTAAACGATCCAATTATCTGCCTTCTATCCAATTTTGAGCAATGTTCGTTGACCGGAAGTAGTAATTTACGCTATTTCTGATTTCTCAAAAAAGCGAATGTGAATTTATAAAATACTAATAATATTCCGCACTATTATACACAGATTGTTTGGCGTTCACCTGGTGTGCAATTCATTTTTTCTCCGATATTCTATTCTATTTTAAAAAGTTTTAGTAATTAAAAATGAATTAAAAATCATGTCTATATCCCGAAGTGTCATCCCCCGTAGTGATATATAAGAACACGAGCCGACCCGCGGCGTATCATACGCCGCTAATCATACGCCGCTATTTACTTGTTTTATTTTCTACATTTCAGTAATTCATAATGCGTTAATTTGACAGTACCAATGCTGCCACTGAAAATATTTGCTTTAAAACACTATTAGTAGGTCGTTAAGGACGATAACTCCCTCCCTCCTTTCCTCCAACCACTACCCTACCCCCCCCCCCCCCCCCCCCCCCCCGTGAAAGCAGCCTCCTCTTAGTTACCTCTTGTAAGTTTAAAATCGGTTCAAACTAAATTATCTGCCCCTAATAGCCGTCACTAAACCCGGCTCAACGATTGTAAACATTTAGCGTGAACCACAGCTCATCAGACCATGTAGGGATGGGGGGAGGGGGGTGGGGATAGCCTAGAGATGAAGAGAGGGGACTGCTAGGCGCGCTTACAGCTTGGTATTTTCTATGTTCTCCTAGAAGATAATTATATATATACTAGGCATGCTGCCCAGCTTCGCTTAGGCTCTCGAAAACATTGAGAATTTGAATGCTTAATTAATTCGCCAGAGGGTCGGTCTACGACCTCAGGAGTTATGAAGAGGTTCCTACGTGGACATTTTTTTCGATTTATAGCTCATATAAGGCGCCGGTCAGTCGAGGTCAGATATATTTTAAAATGTTCTTGTTTGAGAAAAATAATTTATGAAATAGTTATTAGTCAAAACGCAATGTGCTTTACTACACGCTGAACGATATTAGTAGCAAAGCTAAGAAATAACTAATTAGCTAAATATCCGACACATTTAATTTAACACAGGCACACACTGATTAAGTGACTTATATGATTCCGTTAAAAATCTGGCTATTCAATGGTCATTATGTTGTTTTTAAGTAATTTGTATTACTTTTGCCGATAAAATTGTATACATTTCGTAGCGTACGTCTTGATGATCTTTAGATCTAGATCTAAATCAAATTGGAAGGAAGTAGTTCCTATCTATATAGTCTAAAATCGGAAGATTCACATATAAAAAAAAAAAATTAATAACCAAGTTTGACTTGGTGTGTCTCGAACCCGCACCACCTGCGTGGTTATAAGTGCACTATCATCTCAGCTATTTAGGCACCTTTGAAACATGGAGAATGAAAGACGTATTTTAAAATCTTAACTTACGCGAATATGCCTATTCTTTCAAATTAATTTTTTATCCCAAATTAGCTAGTTCCAAACAAAGATTTTGTATAAAATAATTAAGTCTTGAAATAGTTTAGGCCTAATATAGAAAAGTTTTTTTTTTAATAGATTCTAGAGTAGTTAGAGTCTAAGGCTAAATCTAGATCTTAGAGTCTACATCTAGTTATTGCGTAGATTTAGATCTAGTCTAGATCTAAAATCTAGAATCTCTAGATCTAGAATCCAAATAAATAAAATAAATGTTATGAGTTTAGGCCGGAAAAATTGTATTGTATACATTTCATAGTGTACGCAGATCTAAATCAAATTTGAATGAAATAGTTCATTTCTTTTTTTCTAAACACGGCATATTACGTCATTAGTTAATGTATAGACATTAGTGACGTCACAGTTTTATGTGTTCTTTTTCACATCTATTAATGCCTTTCCGGTTGCATAAAAAATACTGTTTCTCTACATCCGAATACGCCTTTATTTTTTATTTTTCTTCTTTCAATAAAAGTGTGGTTATACATTTAAAACATCTAACATATTATTTTCAACAAAAGTCCGTAGAAAGGTATCCATATATCGCTGCCGATTCTGACGTGATGTCCGGCGAAAATATTTTGCGGACAGAGAGAGAGAGAGAGAGAGAGAAGAGCGCACGGGGCCTTTTATAGATTAGGATAGATTCGAGAACGTTTAGGGGAGATCATTCCAGATTTATTAATAAATAGTGCTAAAAGAAATGAATAAGCACAGTGATATCAACATTTTCGAGTAGTTTACCCTGTGATGCTGGTATGTGCTAGCACTAGTACAAAAAGTTTATTCATGGTTTTAATTGCGCTTATTTTCTTTAACAATATAATGAAATTAAACCATATTTTTAGCATTATTTTATAATCCCCGTAATCAAATAAATAGCTTAATTAAATATCATTTTTTACCCATTGTTATTTTATTTTTATTTTATTTTTTTTTTGAGTCGTTGAATTTCACTCTAACCTTGAATCCATCCGAAAACGGAGCCAAATTTTTACAACATAACGGCGGCTTATGTGAGGGATGAGTAAATGCTGAAGTGTAGTTACATAGCGTTCGTTTTTTTTCTGTGAGTAGCGGATGGCGGTGGGTGTTACGTGTGGTGGCGGAGTGCACGTTATAGGGGTAATCAGGTGAGAGTTATGGATGAGTGGGAGGTAGCATATCGTTGGGATATAAGTTTAGAGGATTTACTTCGTCGGGAACAAATAGCTGGAGTCTCGAGGTGGGGCAGATAAATGATTTATTCAAAGGCTTTTTAAAACAAAAAAATGTATTTTTAATTCAACAATCTCATCATCTAATGAAGTAATTACATTTTGTTTTCCGCTAATCGTATTAACCTATCCAGATGGATGGACAGTGCTTTTTGTTGTACGAGATATACCCTATAAATATATATATATATATATATATATATATATATATATATATTCTTGATTTATGTGCTCGGATTTCAATTACAACATATAAACCACACAGCTCTCTGTGTCTTTATATTTACAACA